GTATGATATTTTTTTCTACTGATTTTATTTTTATATTGTATTTACCCCCCCCACCCACCACCCCCCCCCGCTGTGCGGGGGGGCTGGGGAATTCTGGGAGTTGAAGTCCACATATCTTAAAATTGCTAAGGTTGCAAGCACTCCTTTAGATTAGGGAATGTATTTATTTTTAGCACTTTTCAGAATGTGTTCTTTGCATTGACATTATCTTCAGTTTTGACTTTCCTACTTGGAATCCTTTCACAACTGTACTGCTCTTTTATACTTAACTCTATATATTACCCAGAGAGATAAGTTAATAACACAAAAAAATACAGCAGGCTAAAGCTCTCCAATATCCTTTGCTAAACTGAGATTACCTCATGATGAAGGCAGTTTTAATTTACCAGATTTTCAACCATATAATTGGCCTTTTTTAACATTTATATTGTCTTGGAACAGGACTTTTTATGAATATTCTCCTCCTTGGGTGTATTTGGACAATAAGTGTATTACACCTCAGAAATCTTGGCAAGTTTTAGGGTTCAAGCATCTTAAACAGGGAATCTATTTTCCAGCCTTGAATGTGGTTATTCATAGGTAAGTGGTTACATTTGAATCCTAAATCATATGAGAATATGATGTTGTAGAATAATCCTAATTTGAAAATAAGGGGAAAAATGCTTTATTGGAATAGTTGGGCCCAACAAAGGATCAGTACTTTGAATCAGTTGATTTCTAATGGCTGTTTCAAAGACTTTGGGAGAGTGTGTTTTGTGTATGATTTGCCCACAACATTCATTTGATAATGCATACAACCGAAACAGGTACTAACTTAACAGTATAAATGTAAAATAAACGTATGATTTAAGTGAAATTAGTCCATTGGAAAATATTTGTCTTTATTGAACCCTTGAACGTTGATAAGCTACACAGATCTTATCAAAGGAAAATTCAAACATTACACAGCAGCATTCTGGGCTATATCTCACATGAATTAAGAAGTTCCCCTAGCCACTAAAATATCTTTTCAGGTGGCATTACAGCTTCCAGTGGAAAGGAGAGATGTCTTTGCTTGTACATCTGCAGATTAAAGCTGTTGTTTTCTATTATAAATAGTGAAAATTGTGTGAGGAGGCACAACTGGATTTATACACATTGAATGATGGCATATTAGCTGCCATGACTGCAAAAATCATATTTGGTTGGTTGGTTCAGTTTTGACTTGTGTGTACGTGTTTGAACCTATAAAAATAATCAGATCTTAAGTCAAAGGAAATGTAATTTAATTTAATTTTAATTATATTCAATTTAAAGGATATTTTAAATTTAAAATCAATTTAAGATCAATTTATTTCATCCAAATCTCCAGATGTGCAGCCAAATTTTGCAATGGTTATTATAGAGGAAGAATTTGTATGTGTTATCTGAGCGTTCAAGCATATTGACAGAAGTGTTTCTAATCCAGGCTTGACGTAATGTTTCTTTAGCATCTTCAAAGCTCATGGGTGTAGAAGCTAAGACTTTGTAAAAACAAGCAATATTTTGAGAGAGGAAGAGAGAGAGAAAGTTACCCTAGGAAGCAACCATGGAAGCAACCACATGTATATTTGCATACACCTTATAATGTCCCTGAAAAACAAAATGACTAACTCTTGCTTTAATCTCATCTCTTTTTCCTCTCCAAAGACTCATATGAAGAGGGCAACAGAGGGCCTGGGAAAACTTACCATAGCTATCAGTGCCTGCCTGCAGCAGAACTGAGAGTGCAGATTGATATAGTGGCATATGCCATATGGTTTGGACATATTCCGGAGCTTCTGTTGGGTCCCCTATGCTCTGAGTTGGCATACTCTGGGTCCCATCCAATAAATAGTATCAGCTAGAGGGACCCAGGAAGTGGGCCTTCTCTGTCATGACATCTGCTGTCTGGAACAATATTCTCTTTGAGATTCATATGGCTCCCACCCTCACCTTATTTAAATTAGCCTTTAAAACTTGGCTCCTCCCCCAGGACTTGGGCTAGAATGGTGAACGATCCTTTGTGCGATGTTTTGGTCTATTAGATGGTGTTTTTTCTCTGGATTTCCTTCCATTTTTTTTTAATTACTGTGCATATGCTTACTGTCTTCTTTTGTAAGCTTCTCAGAGCCATGATATATTGAATGGCCTAAAAATTTCATCAATCAATCAATAAATCTTTGCACTACCATAGCACCCAGGGAGAGTTCTAAAGTGCTCAATATATGTAAATAGCTGAGAAACATGGAGAATTACCTTAAATCAAATCAAACTGTTTGTTCACCTATATACACACATACACACAATTCTTTTTAATCTTGCCAAAGTGTTTAAAAGATTGAAAAAATGTAAACTCAACACATCCTCTCAAAATGCATTCCTTTGTTTTGAAAGCCTGGCCCATCGTGAATAACTCAAAAGCAAGTTTTGTTCTTGCAAAAACCTTGAGAAGAAACTTGCTGCCCTTCCTGTTGAAAACTGAAATAGTTTACTTGATCAAGATAGATGAGAGCTTCTTCTACTATGCTACTCCAGTGAATACATCTTTTCTTGATTTCCATTATCAAGCAGCCCTTGAATTACTGGGACAGACCATTAGCAGATGTTATCACCCATAAATGGAAGCAAAAGGCACAGTGGTACAGCTTCCTACACTAGACTCTATGTTCATATTCACAGTCCCTCTTAACTGCATGCTCATATTTACAGTCCCTCTTAAGTAGATTAATCTGCACAATACCTGTCCCATCCTAAGACCAAGATAGTCCAGCTTAGCACCAAAATTTGGGAAATTTCAACTGTTTGGTCCCGTCCAGCATTGAGCTTATGGTGACAGTGTCCATTGAAGTCCCAGACCTGCAAATATCGAAAAATCAATATATCTGATTTATACCATTTTTTATTTAGTACTCATAAATAGCAATGAATAATAACACAGTGGAGATTTTAGTATTAAGTTCAACATTTTTTCATAATACAAAATAATTCAATGCACTTTTCAACTTCTTATCAATGTCATACCAAGTATCAACGGTACCATATAAGCAACTGTATGCTCATACATATATTAGAAATCATATTAACATTGAAATGATTTTTTATTTTGAAACGTTTAATTTACTTTAATGATCATAGCGCTGTTTCCAGTTTCTACTGTATAGATACTACTGTACTCAATTTTTATTTGTATTCTAATATTATTAATAAATAAATAAATAATTTATTATTTGTTTTCCATAATAAAACAATTAATTTGGAAAAAAAGAAAAATCAGTATATCAAAACTATAGAGTAAGATGTGTCTTGGTAACTTCAGAAATAATGTTAAAAATCTTAAAGCTACATAAATCCATGTAAACGTGGGGAAGGATCATAACTGGAACCAATTAGGAACCAATGCTATCTGTAAACCTCTTGGATATTTAATCCTAAAAGCCTTTTCAATTGCAACTCAATTTACTGTATAGTACCAACTCAATGTTGTACTAACCAACCAAGGATTGGGTAAAGAACACCTCGTTCTCATCTACTGCTTTGTTAACCATTTTGGGATTCTTGGCAAAATTCAAACTAATAAACCCATTATTTGTTCTTGATTACATCAGAAGACAAAACTTGAAACACTCAAGGTGTCTATCTGCAGCAGGGTTGGAGATGGAAGGGGTATGCTTACAGAAAATAGTTTGTTCTTCCCAATGTCACATCAGTCAAAAACTTGTAGTAAATGTGAAATAGTGTTGTTTTGCATGTGTGCGTGTGAGAGAGACACACTCACCTATTCACTGATTCTTGGCTCATACAGATGAATTAAAATTACCTCTCCCTTTACAGACCTACTATCATGTCCCAAAGTGTTTTCCCCCCTCTCTGAGGTATAATGATATATCCCCTACATCACAATTTTGCTCCTTCTTTTATGATTTCCTTTGTTTCTTCCTCAGAATTCTCTGCTACTGCTGCTACTTAGTAACCTGGAAGTCCTGTTTGTTACACCTCTCTGAATTCACAGATATAACTTCATCCAGTCTCCTGAGTTTAAGTTCAACCTCTGCTATGTTTCTTTGCTCTTCCAAACATAGGGAGATAAATTCTGTAGAGAAAACAGGGAGACAAACCCAGCTTCCAGTTCATTCATTGGGTTCCATTTAGCAGGGTATATGTATGTGAATAGAACCAAGCACATTAATAGTATCTAGGGAGTGATCTTAACATCCAAAAGAATGTGTACCTTTTATTAAATAGGTCCAATAGATTAATCATATATGTCTCTATGGTGGGGGGAAAGAAATAAGAAGGAAATAAGTACTCTATACTTAAAGGAGAGAATCTGAAAATATCTTCTGATCAGGGATAAGCAGAGCACAGACAAGAAGAGGAACCAAGAGAGGTTCTCTTATTTGCTCTGTCTATTCCCCATGTCCCTAGGGGTCAGTAGAATAAAATTGTAAATAATTGATGCTTCCGGTGCTACATCCCCTGCAAATCTTTCTGATGAGATTCACACATTGTGCTAAACTATAAGTACACTAGTTCAGTTTGGAGTAGCAGACTGTATGAATCCATTTATTGTGGTTCGTATGTTATGACTTACAACACAGTATGTTGTGTGAGCTGAACGAACTGTTACTTATTCAACAAATCATAATATTGTACAATTTAGAATTCCTTGGACTATAATCTAGAGCTAAGCAAATGGCTATATTTATACAAGACACTTAACACGCTTACTGAATTAATCCATTTTCTGGGTTTGCACTGTACATTGAACTATAAATTAAGCAGTTGGGCAGGATTTTCACATGTTAAAGAAAGGCTGATCGACTTTAAGAATCAAGTTGACTCTGTTGTACAAATGTATCTGCTAGAACTTTAGCTGATCTGTTTTAAGTGTGTGAAGAGAACATATCCAAAGTATTTTTCTTGACTTTATCCTGACTCCAGAATTTAAAAGCTTTCTCATCTAACTACCATCTGTGGTGAAATGTGATCCTAAACCATGAATAAGAAAAGCAGGACCCAATAGCTTATAATGCAAAGAAGAATCCAGAAAGACAGAAACAGAAATTAAATGCAGTCTCCTTTCCCAGTCTACAGACTAAAATAGCAGACTAAGGATAATAAACATTTTATTTTTCCAGTTAAGGTAAATAAACTAAGTTGTTATTATTGTTTAACAAAAAGTCTTGGCTATTTTATAAAAAATAAGTACCACCTCAGTTTCCACTAGCGGAATTTCTTACTGATGGACGCCCAAAGGTTTAGCAAAGCTACATCTTTGGTAGTGTGGAATGGCTCTGTCCACCTCACTTTCCTGTCTCTCTTAAACACACACAATGCACACCTTCACTGTTCCATCTGTGCTCCCAGTGAAGAGACGGGTCTCAGTCCCATCAAGAGCCATAGTGCTGATCTCTGCATTGCCGTGGCAACCAGTAAACTCTTTGATTTTCTGCCCAGTATCAATCAGCCAGAAGATAACTGTAGACCCTGTATCTGAGCTGATTACCTAAGGAAGAGGAGGAGAAAAAAAGGTCACTGGAATTAAAACCTTGCTGACATGCTCTCCTTCCAAACACCTGTATTATAATAAACTTATAGATAATGCAACCTTCTAATTATCACTATTTGAAATGCAAATCCAGAAAGAAAATATCAGCATTGATTTTCTCATCTTTCTTTCAAATCATTAAGTTTGTAGGTTGATTTTTGTCCCATGCTAAACACCTTTCTTCACAGCAAGGTCTTTTTAACTAATGAGTAATGATCTAACTGCTGCTATCATTCAACAGAGAAAAGAGGTGACTTGTGCTTTCTACAGATAATACCTCAATCCAGACAGGGACAATGTGTCTTTAGCAATGAAAATTGCAGTCCTTTTTCCTCAAAAAAAAAAAAACAAAAAACCTAAGGTTGCAGTAGACAAAGTGCTTTGTGCTGTACAGGTGATAAACCAACCTTCCTTATGCCAGCAGATTGCTCCATATTTAAGTCATTAAAGGGAATGTCTCCAAATGCATTGGCTGGCGATATCAGTATTATGCATTTCTTTTTAACAGACACTGTATGTTGGAGGAAAGTCCATTTGGATAGATCATGCCCCACTCTCCCCCCCCCCCTGCAAAAAAATCCTGGTATAGTGTGCATTTTGATTCCAGAACACAACCCCAGTGTTTGGTAAGTCACACACATCCTCCCATGGATGCTTATCGGTTATGTCTGATTTCTCTGATAGATTTATGTGCAGGTAAAATCTACTAGTTAGCTGTTAGTAAAATATAGTTCTTCCTTGCCATTAATCATGTTAAACCATGTTAGAGCAAGTTGGGCTAAGCTCAAAGACTATTCTAACATGGTATGTTTTTTCTCCACAGAACCCAATCAGTTTCCTGGGAAGTTGGACTGCGCAGATTAGAACCCTCTCACTTGTGTTCCTTAGCAAACTGTTCCTGAATGGCATATTCATTCCAAATCTGGATATAATTTATAGCCATCATGATCGCTAGCCATTGATAGCCTCACACTCTGTGAATATATCCAGTCCCCTTTTAAAATCATCCAAGTTGTCATTGTCACGGTAAATGACAGTACCTAGTCAATGTTAGCCAATCTCATAAAGCCATGGTTGAACCTGGTTAGCATCTGAATGGGAGACTACCAGGTAATCTCATTGTGAAATTTTCCCAATAAAGACTGAGCATTAAATCACAGTTCTCCAAGCAGTTCGAGCATTGCCCAGCTCCTCTTAGATGGCTTGGCTTGGACAGAGAGGAATCTCTATTGCGGACGAGAATGAAGATACCTAAAACAGATGATTGCCCAGTGTGAGTGAGAAGGTGCAAATGATTCTTATATCCATGGTGGTTTACACTTATTGCTTCTTTTTCTCACCTTTCCCACAAATGAATAGATTCTGGCATGGGGCTTGGTGGTCTTAAAGCTGAATTTTTGCTGAATCCTTATATAGCTGCCATTTCTAGGCTGAGAATCACTAGCTCACACCTTGAATACTCTCAGTAATTTCAACTGAGAAGTTTTACAAATATCCTGAAATAAGGCAATGACAGACCACTTCCCATCTGCTACCAAGAAAACTACATGGATATGCCCCTGAAGTCACCAGCTGAGCTCAACTTGAGGGAGATAAGTTGACCTCCATCACTACTATTTTTTTTAGTGTATTCTGCAATTGAATCATGTTCAGTATGAAGTACTTTCCATTAAGGGAGGAGAATGCCAGTTTTTTATAATAATCATGCTGGTTTTTTCTAATGGTGATTTATGGATTACCACAAAAGAGAGAGAGTCATTCCTCTATATATGACTTTTATTCATCCTTCATTTTGAATAAGTTTCAAGTGAATTAGGCCATCTATTTTGTTTAAAGATCATGCATGTATTTCTTAATGTAAATGTCATCTACAGAATGGCATCCCCAGCATTTCTTCATTTTGATTTGGTTAGCCGTATTATCTATCTATCTATCTATCTATCTATCTATCTATCTATCTATCTATCTATCTATCTATCTATCGTCTATTTAGCCATAAACTCAGTGCATTAATACATTACCTTTATTATTTACACTAGGAAGATGTATATATTTAGCATATTTATTGATGCTATAACATTATTCTGAAATCAGGTATATTTGGGATGAATTAGTAAATCAAAGGTCAGACTGAAGCTATTTACCTGTAAGTGAAGTAAGTTTTCTGCTTTTCAATATTAACAATTAAATGAAATTTCCTTGTAAAAAGAAGTGAGATGTGGTAAACATATTTGTATTATCTATGTTCCTCTAAAGCCCTAGAAGCATAATTACGAATGGCACCCATGAAGAATTTTAATTGCAATCCAATGTGCTTTTAATAACAGACATATCATTGCTGGCCTATTACAAATTCTCCTCCAAAAGACCTGGATAATAACACCTGTTATTGCAACAAAGTAAATGCAAAGAAATTATGGAAGCTTTTGTCTTGGCAAAAGGTAAAAGATAGCAAAACCAGCTAGAAGCCTTTTTTTTTTGGCCGCACACAAATCAAACAGATGGTAGTTCTTGGGCTAGTTTTAATAGCTTCATCCATTTCCCTACTTTGATCAGAGTAGAACAAAGGGTCCATTGCTTATTTCTGTTAAAGAAATGGGGAGTCCTTAGATTAAATAGGCTTTGTGTAAACAGATAGCATACAGTCATTCTTCAGCAGTCTTGGCTGAAGAAGATGAGCCAACAAATTTATCAGGCCTAAGAAAAATATGTTTTTTCTGGAATAGCTTTATACTTTCCTTAAGAAAAAGATTTCTAGAAAGAAACAATAGGCAGTGTTAGCATGACACATTTGGAAAAACAACTATCCTTTCTTATATTTTATAGGAAACAAATATACAGGGGCCATATCATCCATACTCTACAAATTCAGAAAACTTCTGAAGAGACAACAAGAACTCAAAATAGCAACTTAATGTAGCTAAAATTCCCAGTCTCCCAAAGCTGATGGGGAAAATTGGTAAGGAAAGTCAATGGAACATAAGTTCTCATATTTTGCATGATTGGGATTGGAAATCCTGCACAACAGAGTTCTTATTTATACAAAGCACACTGTTCAGTTTCAGCTGAGCATGGATATATCATCTGCAGATCATTATCAACTCAAGGAAGTTGGAGAATGAAACATACCTTCGTCACTTCCCTGTTGAACTACTGAAATGAGGCCTACATGGGGCTGCCCTTGAAGAATGTTCAGAAGCTGCAGTTGGTCCAGAATGCAGTGGTGAAGACATCTTTGGGTGTACCTCAGTATGCCAATGTAACACCACTGCTTTGCAAGCTGCAAAGATTCCTATTCCAAGGTGCAATTTAAGGTATTGGTGGTTACCTGTAAAACCCTACATGGCACAGAACCAGGTTACTTTTGGGATTGTCTGTCCCCAGTTGCATCCATCTGTTCCACCAGATCTAACAGGGTGGGCATGTTCCAGGTCTCTTCCATAAAACAAAGCCATCTTGTGGAACCCAGGAGATCTACCTTCTCTGTTGTAGTGCCTGTCCCATGAAACAACCTCCCCTCTCAGATTCAAACAGCCCCAACCCTGTTAGCTTTCTGGAAAGTCTTGAAGACCTTCCTTTTCCCTCAGGCATTTGGGCCAGGTTGTTAGACCCTGACCCCAGTCTTTTAGGGGCCTTGGCTACATTGTAATGTTGTTTTTATGATATCCTGTATGTTTACATTTTTTGTATTGTCAACTACCCAGAGTCACAACCTTGAGATGGGCAGCTATATAAATTTGACACAAACTCCTATTTCTTTTCTATACTTTGATTTTTTGAATTCCTGAATGCAGGTAATGGATAGCCCATGAGACTGAGGAGCCTGATAGCACAAGGAAAACCATGCTGGGCCTGCATTTTCTTCCCATGTAATCAAGTGCTTGTGGAAAGCCAATAAATAGAACAAAAATAGAAGTGCCTTCTCCAACTCATGGTCCCAGCAACTGATACTGAAAGCCATAGTTGCCTCCAATGCTAGAATTAATTTCTAGCCAACATGAGTAGTAGTTATTTATAGTCTGAGTTTACCTAGTCCCTTTTTTAAAGCCTTCCAAGTAATCTCAGATTTGACAGCCAAACCAATGCATACAGGACTTAGTTCAGAAACTGAATGTGCAGGTAGGTGAGACCAGAAGGTGTAATCTCAGCTGTGCTTCTCAAACCAAATAGTATCTTCCTTAAGTCTGCCTTTGCATTTCTTGGTGAATTAAGACAAAAGGCAGGAATACTACTAAACTACATGGCTTCTTATTCTGTTTCGCTGAATTTTCCTGGGTTACTTATACTGAAACATTTGGATGAATAATGGAAAGTACAAGAACTGAATATCTGGTAAGGGTTATTTTTATTTTCCCCCCTTCTCCATCTTCTTTGTTCGAGAACATTTCAACTCACTGTATAGGAAAACTCTTAACCTGCATGAATTATGTTTCTTGGCAACTTTCTTCTGCACTCTCTTCCTGCCATGTGCAGCCATCATCTTTGTCCTTCTAAGCTATTCCGTGTCATTCACTGCTGCTTCATCCAGCTATGCAATATTTCGGAAGCTGCCTTGTCAGTGTATTTATCCATCTAGCAGATTTCTTGCTGCCTTGCAGCTAATTAGTATATTTACCAGTCGATTTTTTGCTATCAGCTCTTTTTAACTACAGATGCCAGGAAATAGAGCTGGAATTGTCTGCGTACAAATCATGTGCTGTACCTCCACTCCTACACAATGGCCTTCTCTCCATATGTCTTTCACCTCTGCTTCATTTTATGTTTTCAAAATTTCCATGTTCTTTCTCTTTGGCAGGTACTTTATTATTGATACCTCTCTCTCACTCTCTCTCTGTGTATGTATGTATGTATGTGTACACAACACACACACACACACACACACTTCCAGTTTGAAAAAAAGTACTTGTTGCACTAGACAGCTGGTATAAAATATGTTCAATCAGCTGAACATGTTTCTG